GCTCAGGTCACGATCTTGTGGTCCGTGAGTTCAAGCCCCGCATCGGACTCTGCGCTGACAGCTCAGAGCCTGGAACCTGTTTCGGATTCTGTGTCTCCCTCTCTCTCCCTCCCCCACCCACGCTCTGTCTCTCTCCCTCTCAAAAATAAATACACGTTAAAAAACATTTCAAATCAAATGTGGCCTGTACACACAATGGAATCTTATTCAACCTTACAAAGGAAGAATATTCTGCCATGTTACAACCCGGATGAACCTTGGGGACATCACGCTAACAGAAAGGAGCCAGCCACAAAAAGACAAATACTGTATGATCCTACTCACAGACAGTTCCTAGAGCAGTCACATTCATAGAAACAGAAAGTAGAATGGTGAGTGCCAGGGGCTTCCGGGGGGGAAAGGGGAGGGGATTGTTGAATGGATAAAGTTTCCAGTTTTCGTGACGAAAAAGTTCTGGAGATCTGTTTTACACCGATGTGAAGATACGTAACACTACTGAGTTGCACGCTTAATGGTTAAGATGGTAAATTTTACGTGTTTTCTAACCACCATAAAACATAAGGGGAAAAAAGGAAGAAAACTCTGACCCATACTACAGTGTGGCTGAATTTCCGAGATATTATGCTGAGTGAAATAAGCCAGACACAAAAGGACAAGTCCTGTTTGATTCCATTCATATAAAGTGCCTGCAATGGTTAAATTCACAGAGACAGGAAGTAAAATGGCGGCTGCCAGGGGCTGAGTGGGGAGGAATGGGAAATTCGTGTTTAATGGGAACCAAGTTTCAGTGTAGGGGGTGTAGAAACAGTTCTGGTGATGGATGAGGGTGATGGGTGCACAACAATGTGAATGTCCCACTGAACTCTACGCATAAAAATGGTTACGATGGTTAAGTTTTATATTATGTATATCTTACCACAATACATTTTTTAGATTTTTTTTTTGACAGGGAGAGAGCATGGGTGTGGGAGGGGCAGAGAGAGAAGGAGACAGAGGATCCGAAGCAGGCTCTGGTTGACAGCAGGGAGCCCGAAGCGGGGCTCAAACTCACAAACCGTGAGATCATGACCTGAGCCAAAGCCGGACACTCAACCAACTGAGCCACCCAGACACCCATAAATTTTTTTTTTTTTTTAAGTCCATAATATAGTAGATAAGCTTCCTTCGAACTCAGAATTCGTTTCCAGGTCATCTTCCCCACTTGGTATGTCAACCCCATGAGATTTAGCAAGCTCCAGAAGAATAAACTAACATGTTCTCTGGTGGAAAAATAAATAAAGCAGCACACAACTGGGAAGAAGCAGGAGCAGGGGGAATCGTGGGGGATGTTGGCCCTTTCTATGAGCTTAGCCTCAAATGTTATGTGCATCTCTAACAAGTTCTCAGGTGACGCTGAGGGGGGACCACACTTTGAGAACCATAGGCCTATCCAAATCTCTTTAAGAGTGTCAAAACCACAGTGGAGGGGTTCTCGAATCATAGCAAGAAGGTTTACGTGGAAATTTTATTGCAATGCTAGAATCCTGAGTCCTTTAGACATTTTTACTTTTTTTTTAATTAGTTTATTTATTTGGGGGGGGGGGTGGGCAGAGAGAGAGGGAGAGAGAGAGAGAGAGAGAGAGAGAGAGAAAATCCCAAGCAGGCTTCATGCTGTCAGTGCAGAGCCCACGTGGGGCTCGATCTCACGAACATCTCACAAACCGAACTGTGGGATCATCACATGAGCTGGAATCAAGAGTCAGACGCTTAACCCACTGAGCCACCCAGGCGCCCCAAGACATTTACATGTTCTAAGGCTTCCCCAGCTGATTCTGATGTAGTAGATTCTCCTTCCCCAGGGAAAGAAATGATGCCCTCGCCCACTGGTTCTCAAAGTGTGGTCTAGGAATCCGCAGCAGCAGCACCAACTGGGTACTGGTTAGAGAACCACATTCTCAGGCCCCACCCCAAACCTACTGAAGCGGACGCTCTATGGGTGGGGGGCCCAGGAATGTGCTTTGACAAGTCCTTTGGGTGGTTCTGAGTCACGCCGAAGTCTGAGAACTGTGAGCTCTGTCTTCTGACACCTCCCTTTTTCACTGATGTGCTGGTGACTGAACCAGGGCTTTTGGACAAGTGGGTATGTAGTTACCCCACGTCTGTGACTGGTTACTGAAGAAAAGGACAGTTTATTCTTTTTTTTTTAATGTTGGCCTGGAAATGTGATTTGGGCGTTACTGGGTTGGGAAAGTTAATGAAGAGAATTACGAATACTCTGACACCAGAGACCGCACCTAGTGTAATTCAGAGAGACTTCAAAGAGGCAAATTTTCACTTAGTAAAAGGAAAAGACTTTAATGACTGGAGGGCCCTGGTCATGGGGAGGGTTTTCTTGGGGTGTAGTGACTGTACCCTCGTTGGGTGGGTTCCACGTGATGGCCATGAGGAAATCTTAGAAGGAAGTGGACTCAGTCAAGGGTCCCAGATGACTGCCTGAACAAGGTCAGTTTCAGAGTCACCTGGCGTTGTTAAAAATAAATTCTGGAGTCCCACTCATGACAGTTCGGATTTGGCACCACTGGGGAGGGACCCTGGCATCGCACTGACCCACAGGGGGCTTTAAAGTGTTAGGTGTGAGAATGTCTAAACAGGATGTATCTGCCATTCCTTCCCAGTCCTACGACTGTCTGAAAGAGGCTAGAAAGGTTAGCTTCTAAAGGTTGGAAAATGCAGAAAGATCAAATAATTTTCTCCTTCAGATAAGACGTCTACACTAAAAATTAAAACGGATGGTAGTATTTTTGGCTTTACTAAGGGCCTTCGTAAGAAACAAGTTTAAACTACAGCAGAAAGGATTTGCATTAAAACAAGGAAAATCTCTGGGGCGCCTGGGTGGCGCAGTCGGTTAAGCGTCCGACTTCAGCCAGGTCACGATCTCGCGGTCCGTGAGTTCGAGCCCCGCGTCGGGCTCTGGGCTGATGGCTCGGAGCCTGGAGCCTGTTTCCGATTCTGTGTCTCCCTCTCTCTCTGCCCCTCCCCCGTTCATGCTCTGTCTCTCTCTGTCCCAAAAATAAATAAACGTCGAAAAAAAAAATTAAAAAAAAAAAAAGAAAAAAAAATTAAAAAAAAAAAACACAAGAAAAATCTCCTAGCAATGGGGGATTATTAAACATTGGGATGGGCTAAAAGAGTTGATTGTGGAAGAGTCTTCTTTAGAGACTTCTAGAGCTGGGAACCTTTCTCATCTGTCTGGAAGGATGTTGGGGGGCTGGTGGGGAGGGCGGTGATTTTAGGCTCCCTCCCCGCTTGGATGCTGATGTTCCATACACAGCAGCATAGTAAACTAAGGCAGACCGCTTCCCTCAAGGGTATGGAAGAGCCACAATGAAAGCTTCCCTCGTGAGCAGATTGCTAATAAAACCAAGTCAACAAATGGTGGACAGATAACGTACTCACGCACTGACAAGACCTGCGTCTGAATAGGACAACCCAGTTCTTTCAATCCAGTCACCAACCCCCCTGCGGATGATCTCACAGGCATCAGCTGTTGTCTTTAGCATGTATTTGACCACGAGTACCAAGTCTCCAGTACAAAAACAATTACGAAAGGGACCCCTCCTGACAACATCTTTCTGAAGTTCTGGTGTTGAGGTTCGGTTTGAGTTAGACATCAAGGCCGAGCACTGAGAAGGGAGGACCTTACGAGCAAGAGGAGGCAGGAAGGAAGCCTCTGAACAAATACAGATAGGAATAGCAACCGGAGAGAACAGGCCCCGCCCTGGATGTAAAGTGATGGGCTGACAGGGAGCCAGGGCAGGGAGACAGGGCCCAGAGGTGAAGCCAGCTGGGGCTGGGCCAAGGAGACACGGGCATCACTGCATTTCAAGCCTGTATTTCTGCCTCAGGAAAGATAGTCCTGGGGAGACCCTTGTATTTCTTCAGTTGGAAGCATGACCAGAATGGACGCAGAACTTGTGAAAACCCTTCCAGGTGGTCCAGAAAGTCGTCCTCTGTCAAGGAGCAGGTTTGCAAAATGCAGCATCGTGGTCTAGGAATCAAATGCTGGCCCTGGAGTCAGGTGACCTGGACTAAGACTTTCCTCTATCACTTGACCATGGACAAGTTGTTTTGTTTTTTGAAATACTTCCGGGCCTCCGTTTCCTTACTTGGAATACGAGGACAGTAAACAGGCCCGGGATGACAACTGAGGGCAGGGGCTGGCCGGGGGTACGTGCTCGCTGTTAGCTTTTCCCATTTTTCTAAAGCATTTTACGGCTGAACACTCCAATCCACCAAAACGGGGCCTCCCGGACGCCAGGCTGACACCCGGCACCTGTCTGTGACGGGTTTTCAGCATAACTTGGCAAAACGGGAGAAATAAGAACAAAGTCGTACGTGTGCGTGTTAGCATTTGGTAGCTAACGACAGCTTTCTTCCTCGGAGAATGCACAACGTCCTTTGCTTTTGGAAATAATGAGCACGGTAGAAGGTACTTTTAGCTTTATGTTCTTGAGAGCTTTAAGTTATCCCTTGTTTTTTTCATTTCTGGTCCGTGAACTCCAAGAATCTGGGAACCATTCTTCTAAAAGGTGTGAGGGAAGGGGGCGCCTGGGTGGCTCAGTCGGTTGAGTGTCTGACTCTTGCCTTCTGCTCAGGTGATGATCTCGCGGTTCGTGGGTTCAAGCCCCGTGTTGGGCTCAGGGCTGATGGTGCGGAGCCTGCTTGGGATCCTCTCTCTCTCTCTGCCCCTCCCACTTCTCTCTCAAAATAACTAAATACACTTTAAAATAAATAAATAAAAGGTGTGAGGGAGATCCAAAGAGGGTGGGCAGGGCTCTCTGGAAGATTCTGCCTGATGCCCCACAGGCATGAGCTCACAGCATACAGGTGTCTCTACCTCTCACGCCAACACGAGCCTCTCTCTTCATGCTTCTCATGCTCTTCCTTTGTCCCCTCCTCCCTCTCTCTGAGTAGATTCTAACCTTATTCTCTCTCTCCTGCTTTTGCTCTGGCCCTTGCAGGGCAGTAGAATATGCGCCCCCCCCCCCCAAAACATGCCACTTTGGCCTCAGGATTATTTTGAGCTGAGAGCAACTGAGAAGAAGCAGATACGAGAACAGCTCTCTGCCGTCGCCTCTTCACCCAAACGCAGGACAAGACTCTGTAAAGGCGCCCAGCTTCCCTCTCTGCCAGGAAGGACAGAAGTGAACCGCCGGCGAGAACTCTCGACCCTTACCTAGACGACAGCAGACACACCTACCTAACGCCTCGATCACCCTTGTCTTCCCTTAGTCCCCCGACGTGATAACCTTCTCAGTTTGCCACCCTACAAACTCCCAGTCCTTTTCTTGGTCTCGCTACTTCCCTAAATACATTTATTGTTCTTTTGTTAGGATGCTGTGTAAGCCCAAGTTCCAACTACCCCGTGAATTACTCCTCGCTGAGCACTTCTGTGCACACATGATGCACCTGTTAATACAGGTGTTCCTCTTGTTAATCTTGAAGTTTTTCCTCCCCTACACCCCTTTGGGCTATTCCTGCCACCTCTCCCCTCCCCCCGCCTTTATTTTTGACTTTCTTCCCTGCCCTTTTACTCCTCCCCTCCACACACTTTCGTCTCTGTTCCTGGTTTTGCTCCGGATTGTTTTCCCTAGCCACAGGTGCTGTATCTCCGGGTGTGCCCGGCTCACCCAGGTGGCCGCACGCAGATGCCGTGCGCGGTGTGGCCGATGCCCCGCCGCGTCCCCTCCTGACGGAGGCCTGTGCTAAGAACAGAACAACAAGCGAGGCCCTCAAGATTGATCTTCCTGTCTCCGCACAGTGACATGTCATTAATTGAGATGCTTCCTTTTAGCACCAGAGGATGGCTCATTGCCCATATCCCTTCCAACGACAGGGACACATTTTGGGCACTGAATTTGAGGGAGAGGAGTCAGGCTCCATACAAACCTGAGGATTACAGCCGAGGCACAGCCACGAATCTATTATTGTAGCAGTTTCCTTGAAACGTGGGGATGAGACATTTCTCCTCTTTGGAGAGCCAGCTTGGCCAGTCTGCCGCGATTTGCCTGGGACTTTCCTGGTTTCAGCATTAAAAGTCCCGTGTCTTGGGAAGCTCGTGGCACACTAGGACAGTCGGTCACCCTAGAGCCGGCAGTACTCAAGCCTCTACTGGGCTATTTGTCAAAGATTGAGCACAAGTAGGTTCAGTTCAGACAGTGAAAACAGTGAGAAGAGAGTGAAGAACCATTTAACTCAGAGTAGAGAAACCTGAGGGTGGGGGTGGGGCAGGGGAGGCTGTTTTGGTGACAAGTCTCACGTGTGTTCGCTGAGTGGGCTAGGACGTGTGTCCAGCTGCTGTCCATTTCTCCCAGAGCTCAGAGGCAGAGGAAATGGGTGTGAGTGGAGCCCGAACTTACAACGCCAAATTTCCTGACAGTAAGTATTCTTAGACTCCAGAATGAGTTTCTAAAACAGATTAGGTATTGTCTTTAGAGGTAAATTCCTAAGGGCTTTAAAAGTTTAGGTGTGGCCCGAGAGCTGGAGGGATGGACAAAAGACATTTCCAAGATTCCTTCCAACCCTAGAATTCTGTTTCCATCTCCCCGTCTATTATGGCTCTGATTATTTTTTGTGTCCTCTTTTGCCTGTAGTTAAATCGTGTAGAATGACCAGGAAAAAGTGCTTTGATTCTAGTCTCCCGGGGCGTGAGTCCAGCTTTTCCAGAACATGATGGAAAGGAAAGATTAGCATGTTTGTTTGTTTGTCCCTAAGGATGCTTAAATTTAGAAAAGGTTATTTATTGGTCAATTTCATGACAGCAATATTAGAGGTTTAAAACAGGGAGAAACATTCCCTGTGGTCCTATTATCCCAACAGCCTGAGTGACCCACTTTCTCTTCCCACTCAACTGCCCTGAGATTTTCCTGGGATTTCATTAACGTTTAACCTGGGATCCAACCTTACCCACACAGGATTCTTACATTGTGGCAAGTGGGCCTTACCGAGAGATGAAAGCAAAAGGCAAACAACCTTGAGAAATCTTAAAAAAGCATTCTGTGTAATTGAGTTATTTCCAATGTTTAAAATCAGCTTAGTTTTCCTCCACAGAATTGTCTCACATCCTGGGAAATCAAGCTGAGCCATCTGGTGAATTGTTGTGGTTAAAACTGAGAGAGCTTTGGGGTTGGTGGTGGGTCCTTGTTGCTTTAGGGATGTGTCTCCTTCAGACAAACACTTCTGTTTGTTGGAAACTGGGCACTGCCTACATGAAATCTGAGCATCTCTTTCCACTCTGTTCTCCTGAAGTTGCTACTTCTCGCTGATCCCAGCCCACCAACCCTGAAGTCAAAAGCTGATGGCAGAAACCCTTTGGCTGATCTCCTTCTGATCAGCCCCTTACGGGAGTTGCTTGGTGTATGAGTCAGGGTTCTCTAGACAAACAGAACCAATGGGATGTGTATATATGGAAAGGAGATTTGTTTTAAGGAACTGATTGGCTGGCAAGTCCAGACTCTGCAGCTTGGGCTGTCAGGTTGAAGAGCCGATGTTGTGGTACCAATCCGAAGGCCATCGAGGTGGAGAATTCCTTCTTGCTCTTGGAGATCAGTCTTCGTTCTGTTCAGGCCCACCCACAATACGGAAGACAGTCTGCCGTTCTACTTAAAGTCCACCAATCTAAATGTTAATCTCATCTAAAAATACTCATACAAAAAAAAAAAAAAATCCAGAATAATGTTTGACCAAATATCTGGGCACCGTGGCCCGGCCAAGTTGACGCATAAAATTAACCATCACGCTTAGATTCACTCTGCCTGGGTGCTCAGGGCACTCCCCTGTCCTCACCCTGACTCTGCCCCCACCCAGAGTGCCCCCACACTCATACCTGTAATCTTGTCATGGGTTACCCGATGGGGGAGAAGGCAGGGGAGGAATCTATGGTCCACACACTTAAATGGCTATGAGAAAGTCATCCAGATGTAACCCAAGTGATAAGACCAGGGCTGGGAAAAACTCTTAACTCAAAGAACATCTTGATTCTTACATAAATGGCTGTTTTTAGGTAAGAATACAAAATAGCTTTGGTTTGACCTTTGGATGCAAACTAGATGAAATAAATTATGCTCAAGGGTGGTATGAAGTAGGAGGCCCTGGTTTCATATTTGGGGCAGTGGTTGTTACAAAGCCATAAAGCCGCCATTGAGCACGATACACTGTGAGCAGAGGCCAGCTCTTGGGTATGAGGGAAGGGGACCACTGGCCTTTTCATATATGATTTCAGCAGCAAGCCTGGGGGGGGGCTCCCTACGTGGGTTCTTCCTTTAAGAAGAGGAAAGATGACTTCTGTCGTGTTTTGCAGTGGGCATCGATTTAGCGATACAGATTAATGATGATGCTTTGTGGTACCAGTAGAATGTTGTCGATGTTGGGGGGATCGCTCTGCATTTTGTACTGTTTACATAAAAGAGGCTCTTTCTTGTGTGCGTGCGTGTGTGTGTGTGTGTGTGTGTGTGTGTTTGTGTTCAGTTGGCTTTCCGAGTCATATCTTTATCAGTAAAACTCACGTTGTCATAAGCAATAGGTACAAGTATAAAATTAATTTTCTGATTTCATGTTAGTTTCGTCCCTCAACTGCCCATATGATTCTCCTCTCATAAACACACATTCTGGGTCTCAACCTTCATACATCTCACTGTATTCACTTTGTCACTCACTGTGGTGTGTCTGAGATGTAGCCTTGCTGATATGAGCAAAGCTTACTGCTTCTGACTGTTGTCTACTTTTTCCATCGATGCACGTGCCACGGTTTACTTATCCTCTCTCCCTCGGAAGGACAGATTGTTTACAGCTGCTGACATGGAAATGTTTATGCGAACGTGCTGACGTGCGTCTCTTGGGGCACCCTCGGTTTCTCTTTGGTGTCCCCCAGGAACAGTATTTCTGGGTCACACAAAGCATACACGCGTGCATGTTCTCACCAAATACCGCCCAACTGACCTCCCAAAATGGTGGCAGCAGGTGACTCCTGCCCATCTGTGGTGCCACAAGGGGTTCCATTTCCCCACATCCCTAGCAGCACCTGCCGTTCGACAGCTTTTCAGTTCTTGCTAGTCTAATGGTTGGAAGGTAATGTCTTGTTTTCAACATAAGTCTGCCTTTCTCTGACTACTGAGGAGTTTGAGGGGCTCCTCACGTATTTGTTGGACATTCCAGTTTCACTTCTGTGAATTTCTTTTTCATAGTTCTGCCCACTTTTCTATTTTCTTCTTGCTGACTTGCAAGAGTTTCTTAGATATTCTGGATTTTAAGCTTTTGTCCCAGTTTTGCAAACTCTCCTTCTTTCCAGCACATCTCCTGTGTGCTACCTTTGTCTAGGGTCTTGGTTTAAAGGGTGAGCTTTACTTTTGCTGTCCTTAAATCCCTCTATTTTTTTCCTTTGAAGTTTGTACTTTTTGTGCCCCTGCTCAAACCAGCTAGTTTTTGCTATCAAACGAACCGCTCCAAAGCATAGTGGCTTAAATCAGCGATGATTAATTGCTGTGGGTTGGGGAAGGGGTGGGTCTTCTGGACCAGGCCTGCTTCCTGGGGCTGGATAGTCAAGGGTGGTGGCCTTCCATGATGGGGACATCGCTGGGGTGGCTGGGCTTCTCGCTCCACATGGCCTCTTGGGCTCCTGGCAGCTAGCCCAATCTTCTTCACATGGTGGCCTCAGGGTCTCCAGAAGCAGGGGAAGGTAGGCCCCAGCACACACACTCATCGCGTGCTGTTCCAGCCTCTGCTTCTTCATATTGCTCACACCCCGTGGGCCAAAGCAAGTCACATGGCCAAGTCCAGATTCAAGGAGTGGGGAAAAAAGACTCCACCCACTTCCTGATGGGAGTAGCTGCAAAATAGGTGTGTTCGTACGTTTTAAGAAGCAGTTTTAGGGGTGCCTGGGGGGCTCAGTCGGTTGAGCGACCGACTTCGGCTCAGGTCATGACCTCACGGTTCATGAGTTTAAGCCCCGCGTCGGGCTCTGTGCTGATAGCCTGGACCACTTAGGATTCTGTGTCTCCCTCTCTCTCTGCCCCTCCCCCACTCATGCTCTGAAATAAAGAAATAAACCTTAAAAAATAATTTAAAAAATAAGCAGTTTTGGTTCACAGAAAAATTGAGCAGAAGGTACAGAGATTTCCCACCTAGCCCCCCACCCCCAGCATGCATAGCCTCCCTCACTCCCAACATCCCCCTTGTTATAATCAGTAAACTTTCATTGTCACATCATTGTCACCCAGACCCCATAGTTCGCCTGAGGGTTCACTCTTGGCGTTGTATATTCTGTGGGTTTGGACAAATGTATCATGACATGTGACCACCTTATAGTATCATACAGAGTAGTGTCACTGCCCTAGAAATCCTCTGTGCTCTGTCTTTTGTTTTATTATTCCCAATCTACCTTGTTACTCTAAGCTTATAAAGATATCCTCCTCTATTTCCTCTTAGTAGCTTTATAGGCTTAAAACTATTTGGTGTTTCTTTCTTTAGATTGTGATTTTTTTTTTAATTTTTATTTTTTTCAACGTTTATTTATTTTTGGGACAGAGAGAGACAGAGCATGAACGGGGGAGGGGCAGAGAGAGAGGGAGACACAGAATCGGAAACAGGCTCCAGGCTCCGAGCCATCAGCCCAGAGCCCGACGCGGGGCTCGAACTCACGGACCGCGAGATCGTGACCTGGCTGAAGTCGGACGCTTAACCGACTGCGCCACCCAGGCGCCCCTAGATTGTGATTTTTAACGTAGTTGAATAAGTTGTCTAAATTTTTAAATATTTCACTTGTAATTACATATTTGGACTTATCACACATTAATATAATTGCATATTATATAATTATTAAAAATACATTTAAATTAAAACATTTTTAATTTAAATCTATTTTTTTCCAGAATGAACCACATTTTCCAAGATCCGTTATTATATCATCCGTCTTCTTCCCTCCGATCTGTGATGGAAGCCCTGTCATATACTGATTCCCCACATATATGTAGTCCTGTCCCCAAACCTCCTGTTCTATTTGCCTTTCCTATATTGATGCTTGTAATATGGGTTACTATCCGATAGAGCTAGTACTTTTTTGCTTTTCTTTCTCAGAATTCCCTTGGCTCTTTGTGGATTTCTATCCTTTATAAATTAAAAAAAAAAAAATCCCAATTAAAAAAATCATCTTGAATTCGTCCGGTTCTGGGGATCGAAGGTACGGCATGGTGACTATAGCTAACAGTACCGTATTGTATACTCACAAGTTACTAAGAGAATGGACTATTAATGTCCTCACCGTAACAAGAACAACAAGATGGTAATCATCTGAGGCGAAGGATGTGTTGGCCAAGCTTATTGTGGTAAACATCTCACAATGTATACGTACGTGTATCAAATCATCACATCGTACCCCTAAAGCTTACTTAATGTTATGTACCAGTTCCATCTCAATAAAGCGATCATCTTGAGATTTTGATTAAAATTTCATGGATTTGGAGATAATTTAGGGGAAATTAACATCTGTTCTGTGCTAAGCTGTCCCATTGGCACGTATCTCTGTTTAGTTAGGTAGTCTTTTACATCCTTCATTACTGTCATTATCCATAATTTCATGTGATATATTTTTTTTTTTGGTTAGGCTAATTCATAGATATTTTACAGTTTTTGATGTTTTTTCAATAATACCAAACAATGTTGGTTTTCTTCCCCCCTGTTTTTTTTTTTACCAGAGTTCAAATGTTATAGGCGTGTCCTAATGGAATTAGTGAAATGTAGTAAAGCCCTGGATCTGAGGAAAAAGCATAATATCCAGAGTTATAACAATATTAACATCTGAGGCAACACCACTTACCATACCTTCTAAAATGCACTGACCGGTTAGTTTCAGAGTGAAATTATCTGGTTGAAGTGTTCACCCAAGAGATTTTTGGTAGATTTTCTCTCCCGGTAACCCAAGATGTCCACCTCAGCAAAACTCACACAGGCATGAGGTCACGAATGACTCTCTTCGGAGTCTCCTTTATTTCGACAGTTCCCGAGTGTTCAGGAGAATTAACTGCTCGACTGTAGAAACTGGGTCCCAGAGAAGTTTCAAAACCCAGCCAGATGGGAGTGAGTTTTATGGCACACGTGGTCTTATACCCCACCCACCGACAACCCCCGCCCCCCCCCCCCAAAGCTTGCATTTCCATTATCAGCACAACGCCTGTACTTTTGCTTTGTTCTGGGGGATAAACACAGAAACATGAAGCTCGAAACTTATATACCTGCATTTCCATAATGCTGGGTGCTGGGGGTTGTCATTCCTAGCTCATCGCTTGTCATTTTTTGCATAGAAAAAGAGAATATAGGGGCGCCTGGGTGGCTCAGTCAGTTGAGCGTCTGACTTGGGCTCAGGTCATGATCTCGCGGTGTGTGAGTTGGAGCCCCGCGTCGGGCTCTGTGCTGACAGCTCGGAGCCCGGAGCCTGCTTCGGATTCTGTGTCTCCCTCTCTGTCTGCCCCTCCCCTGCTCATGCTCTGTCTCTCTCTGTCTCAAAAATTAAAACATTAAAAAAATTTGTTTTAAAGAAAAAGAGAATATAACAAACCTTTTGAGAAATACATCTTTAGACAGCTTGAGAGTGCTTCGTCTTGTTGCTGCCTGTGTGTGTTTAGCAGAATGATTACCTGGTCTGGGGAGCAAATACCCTAAGGCTAATTTTTTTTTGTTTGTTAAAGACGATTCCCCCTGATTTTTTTGGTTGGATTGCTTTTTTGCTATATTTTTAATCCTTTCCTTTTTTGCATTTATTTTTTAATATCCGGATCCAGGGCAAGTATTGCAGCTAATGAAGAGGTGGGACACGGTAGGACCTGGGGAGCTCAGTTCAAAGTGCTGGCATTCCACTGGGGTGGGCCTTAGGCAAGACTCACTCTTCTGAGCTTTCGTTTACCCGAGTGACACACGAAGGGTTGAGATGACCTCATATGTCCTCTCAAACAAATTCTGGGTATCTTCTTGGACTCTGAGCATTTGGAGATAATTCTTGAGGTTTCTATAAATAAAAGTGAAAATCGGTCACTTCTTCAGACCAGTGGGAAGTTTAGGAAATACAGTAATCACCATGTGTCTGTAATCCCTATGGAACCGAATCAGAAACTGCTGAGACGGTGGGGCATTCACAGGATAGCGAGGAGCAGAGTGCTGGCTTTACCTATCTTCCCTAAGTCCACGGTTCTTCTTCTAGCAATTTCTTGAATTGCCATGAAAATTGGAAGGGATGAGAATTTCGGTTTTCCGACAAGATAGAAGGCTCACAGATAACGTGAGTTATCTGTATTTTCCGACCGAAAGGTGACTTTACCAGAAATTATGCTGAACATCTAAGGAATTAATCTGGATGAGTGAGCTCAGCCTGACATAAAGATGCTCTGATGCCCTTCTTAGCAATGATGCTGAAATAGCAACAGCTTCAGTTTGCTGAGGCAGTAACAGCTGCCAGGGGAAAAAGAGAGAGAGAAACTAGGAAATCAACGCCATTCCGAAGCTATAAGGTAGCAATTTAGAGGCTAGACTCTTGAAAAGCTTATTTAAGCAATCACTCAACCAATATCTATTGATTGCCTCCTGACCAAGATGTCACATGTGCCTTCTCTGCCTTTCAGGGGCTTCTGATTCAGTTAACAGCCACCGTCTCTGCTCCAGGCCAGTGAGCCCCAGTGTCCACTTGGCTGTCTCAGCAGCCCCTCAGCCGTGCGTGACTGTGTCATTGGATCTTTGACTTCTCAGTCTCTTTCTCTTCTCAGGTCCCCAAACTAGGAAATCCACCCACTGCTGGGATCTGACCCATTTCTGGCCATTCCTCGTTCTTAGAATCCACTTCGGTTACTCTTGTGTTTGCCTTTCCAACTCCATCCTATCTTTAGCCCCAGTTCTGCTGAATTCTGAAGCTAAAGACCTTCTCCCCACCCATCCTGGTCGATGTGGCGCGTTGACGGTCCTAGGTTCCACTTCTGCATCTGCCCCAGCAGATCCTTATCCATCGACTGGAGCCACCCTACAGCCTGTCCTCTACTGGAACTTGACTTTCCCTTGGACACACAAGTGTGCCTATTCACAGCCAATGTGAGTTATGTCCCCTCATCCCCATGTCAGGTCATGAACCACCGGACATGCCTACTGTAGTGTCCAGACGTGGCTTGCTAGGCATTGAGCAGAGCAGACCAGAGCAAGAACAGTATCTCCTGTGTTCTAGGAACCGTGCTTCTTTAGAACTCCCACTGAAGACCCAAACTGAGACTCTTCTTGAGTTAGAGCTGTAGAGATAAATTCATTACAGATCCAAGGTTCTGGATGGGAAGGGTATGGGCTTCCTCCAGAAGTGAATGATTTTCTCAGGTAGAAGGAGCAGGGTGGCAACAGAAAACATTCATTCCTTGGTGCCTCACCAGCAGGAGGACAGAATTCCCAAGAGTCGACATCTGTGTAAGTTTTGGGATTACCAAGCCTACCTTTGGTAGTTTATCAGGGCAGGCACAGTAGTTCAAAATTAACTTCATCTTTCCTACCCCATCATTCTCTTCCTCCTCCTGTTGCCGACACCATTGTATAGCCAGCTGCCAGGTCTGAAAACCTCTACACCCTAATAGAATACTTTTGAGTGTATCTGTAAAAAGTTTCCCTCTATGACCCCTCCTCTCTATCACCTAGTTTGGTCCTCATTATCTCTCAGCTAAGCCAATGCAATAAGTTCTTACCCCCGAGATTTCCAACACGACTCTTTCCAATCCCCATCTCCACTCCAACATAGCAGCTTCACTTTGCCTTAAGAAGGGAAGTTCATGTTGCTTAGTACAACAGTCAAAATCCTCCATGAGTTGACCTTCGCCCATCTCTCATCAGCACGTACCCTGCAAAATAAGGTGGAGAAAGGCCAGATGTTATCCCTGGTCTGACCCGATATAGTAGCTCTCAGATTATTTCTGGCCTGCCACAACAAATGTCTCCTTGTTAAACAGGCCCTCTATTTCCACCTCTGACCTGAGTTCCTGCCATGCCTTCGCCTGGAATGCCCTTTTGGCATCTCCCAACTTCTCTCAAGCTGTGCTCAAATATCCCCACCATCCCACATGTCAGAATGACTCTCCTCTTCTTTGAGCTGTTATGGCATTTAGCATCTTTGATCTCGTGCTGAGTATGGTTGCTTATGTGTCTATCTTTTCTACCAGCTTATAATCTTTTTTGCATCTAGAGACACATAATACTCCTCTTCTTGGTTGTCAAAGGCATTGGTCATTGTAGGTACTCAAGGAACGTTTGTTGAAGCGAGTCTGTCTAAATATGCACCTGAATGTCTGGCCCCAGAGCTTGATACAGACATACACGCACACCTGTGCTATAGGCACACCTGTGTAAGTGCACGTTCAGGCACACACACACACCCATGCATGCACACGCTAACGTACACGTGTAGGATGCACACCTACATTTGCACACACATTCGCTCATGGGTGTACACTCACATGCACCGCTCACATGCAAGCTCACAGTGATAATATGCACATGGGCACACACTTGCACCTCAGGCAGACCCCCACACACACATGTCCACACACACATGCACACATACAAACCCACACATGGAGACACATGGACACTCACACCTTGTTATTACCTGCTAAAGAGGTGTTTTGCCAAAAGCATTTGGATGTGGACTGGTGAGGGACCCCAAGTGCAGCCAATAAGGGAGGTGAGTCACCAGGGTTATATTTTTGAGGTACCCTTATTCCCTATATTCTTTCAGGAGGAGGGGGCTCTTTTTATGTAACACCCCTCAGCTCAGAGAAGATGGAGTGACTTGGTTGATAGGAAATCGGCAAAGAACAAACCAATGTGACTGGCTCAGACCCTCTCTGTTTTCCTCTTTGGGAGCCAGCCTGCTGTCCAGGCACGAATTAGGGGGTGAGCTGGGGCAGGGCAAGGCCAGTGTGGGAGGCTAGCGTGGTCTGGGCTGCTATGACAGGAGTTCAGTATTGGAAAGCCTATTTGCTCACAGATAGAAGTTACGTCTTCAGTATCAGATTAATAAAGGTGATATTAGAGCCCACCCCTGCCATCTCTCTTGCTTTCTTTCTCAACTGGTTCATCAATCAGACAGGGAAGAAGAATGTCATCTCTTGGGAGCCCTCGAAGACCCTAACAGGACCTGAATAATTTACCACCTCTCTACTCTGAGCACGTGACTTCAGATTCACGTAAGGCAAGGAGGCCAAGGAAATGGTTGCTTGTTATCAGCTGATACGTTTCCTTACCGCTTGTGAAGTGTAAGCATCACAAGGTGTAAGACACCACTGCACGTATTTACTGTATATGCCTTGCTCTATGGTAGTTCCGTGATGCATGACATATATATGATGCTTCTCAGCTCTCCCAGGGTTATAATCTCCTCGAACAAAAGGCCTCACTCATGTTTGCCTCAATTGGTTGACAGCTTTTTGCTGGCAAGTGCCCTCCTGGTCTGTTGGCTTCATCTCCCTGGGGAGTTGGTCTCAAACCCTGGGATGTTTGTCTTCCTCCCCTGGGAATGACATCATTGTGTCAGCTGCGCCTTGTCAGGGATCTTAT